CTTGTCCTTCACTTATTCTCCAAGCTCCAAGTGATTTGAGATCATTGACAAGAACTTAAAGTCTATGGAACATCTCGGGCACACTCTCATCATCCTTCATCTTGAAACTAGCAAACTTCTCCTTGAGGATGTATGCCTTGGCATCCTTCACGGCTTGAGTGCCCTCAAATGATTCCTCTAATTTCTTCCATGCCTCATGAGCCATCTCAATATTCTTGATTTGCTCAAATGTTCTCTCATCCAAAGCATCATGAATGGCACTAAGAGCAATGTCATTGTTTTGGAGTAGCCTTTCTTTGGTGGTGGTGGGAGCTTCCTCATTGGCAATCTCAATCTTAGACTCCACTACCTCCAACACCTTCCTATTGATTGACTTGATATATGTTGTCATCTTAGCCTTCCAATAGGGATAGTTGGAGCCATCAAATTGGGGTGGCTTCTTGGTGTTGTTGATTTGAGCCATTTTGACACCGAATGTTGTTAAGCCTCAAATCACGGTGACCACGGCTCCGATACCACTTGAAAGGTCCTAATGGTTAGAGGGGGTGAATAGCCTATTGAAAATTTCTACAACAACACTTAGCAAATATGTTAGACAATCAAACGGCGAAGCGAGTGTTGCGCTAGCCTACTAAAAGAGCAAGCCACCTACCACAATTCTAGAGACTATGATCACTAAGCACACAATTTACTAAGTCACTATACTAAGTTAGTGGGCTCTCAAAGGCTAACTAAAGAGCCTCACTACCTTTAGCATCCGGTCGTTGATCCTCACTGCACACTTCTTGGGGCGACCGGACGGGCCGGTCAAAGTGACCGGACGCACTACCTTCAGCGTCCGGTCGCTGATCCACTGCCATGTGTCCTCGCTTCGAATGTGCGCCGTCAGATTCCAATGGGCAACTATGCATGCACCTTACTTAAGTGACGACCGGACGCACACCCACGATGACCTGACGCGTCAATGTTGCGCCCGATCGCACACTCGACCGAGCAGCGAAGCCTGCGACCTGACGCTCCGTGGACTGACTAGACGCGCCACCAACGTGGCATTCGGTCACTTCCAGAGAGCTCGCCGAGCGGCTTTTTCGTGACCTGACGCATCCGATCTTCACCGACCAGACTCACCCAGAGTCAGGTCTTCACTCGAGCCATGCACCAGCGCCACATCACCATTACGCGCCAGAGTCCGGTCACTAGCCAAAAGCAGCGCCACCGAGCCAACACTAACCGAACGTGCAGGTCCAGCATCCGATCCTACGTTCGGTCAGCTCCCGTGAGCTCCCCGACTTCACCAACTTCTCCACCCTTGCTCAAATATGCCAACCACCAAGTGTATCACCATGTGCACGCGTGTTAGCATATTTTCACAAACATTTTCAAAGGTGTTAGCACTCACTAGAATCTAAATGCATATGCGATGAGTTAGAACATCTAGTGGCACTTTGATAACCGCATTTTGATACGAGTTTCACCCCTCTTAATAGTACGGCTATCGATCCTAAATGTGATCACACTCATTAAGTGTCTCGATCACCAAACCAAAAAACTCCTATCAGGTTTCACCTTTGCCTTGAGCTTTTGGTTTTTTTTCTTTCTTCTTTTCCAAGTCCAAGCACTTGATCATCATGGTCACCACACCATCACCATGATCTTCACCATTGCTCCATCACTTGGAATAGTGCTACCTATCTCATGATCACTTTGATAAACTAGGTTAGCACTTAGGGTTTCATCAGTTTACCAAAATCAAACTAGAGCTTTCACCAGGCCGCACCGCACCCTTCTCCCACCCGCTGCCAGGCTAGCCTCACTGTCATCCCCACCTCCCCTCTCTCCATACCACAACTAGGTGGGACCCACCTGTCAGGACCGTCCCCTACCTCTGTCCGCCTGACCCGGACGCCGCCGCCAACTACGTGGACCGAGCTCTATTCGAGCCCACGGTTAGTGGGGGAACCCTAGTGGAGGTGTAAAACAGGCTTGGAGGGGCTTTGTGAAGGCCTTGTAGTGTGACCGCACTAAGCACCTAGGTAGTGTGAAGCATGATGGGGAAACATGGCTCATGGTGAAAGGGTGCAACCTCTGCAGAGTGTAAAACTGATATATCAGTCGTGCTCACGATCAAGAGTGGCTTGGACTTCCTCGAGATTAGATGGCTTTGGTCGGTTGGGTGTTTCCCTTGGTGAGGGAATGGTTGGTTCGGTTGGGAGATTGGATGGAATCCAAGTGTTGGTTTCTTGAGGAGAGGGCAAATTTCACCTAGTAATTAGGTGCTAAGGATTTAAGGTAAACTAGGATGTGTATAGCTTAAGTGCTTGAGTCAAACCTTGTGAGCCTTTCCTTGTGTTGGCCCTCATGCCATACTTTCCTACACTTGCGGAGTACATTTCGATGTACTCACCCTTCTCTTTGTCCCCCTAGCTACCCCACCCAGTTGTTTGGACTAGAAGATGGTGTTTCCTAAAGATGGTGTCGTTGTTAGGCTGATGTACCCCCCGGTCTACTGCCTAAGGGGATGGAGACCCTGCTTCACTCGTACTTTGATGTAATTTTGTTTTAGACCTTCTGGTCAGTTTGGAATATGTAATCACTTTTGTAATAAACACTGATTTGTATCACAATATTATCGTCACATGTATGAATAAATAGATCCTAGCATATATGTGATGTGCATTTGGTTTTGTTTATAAAACCGGGTGTGACATATACGAGGTTGGTTCTTATAATGTTAACTACATTTTCTACTTTGACCTCTCTTAATGATATGGCTTCTGCCAATTTAGAGAAGTAATCGGTCATGGCAAGGATAAATTTGTGACCCTTACACGATGGAGAATTTATCGGCCCCACTACATTCATACTCTAAATTTCAAAGGTCATGACATATTGGTCGAATGCAAAGGTTAATGCGGTTTATGTATAAAATTACCATGTATTTGACACTCATGGCATATTTTTACAAATATCATGGAATCATCAAATATTGTAGGTCAATAGTAACCAAAATATTTTAGCTAGTAGTGTATTTTGGATCTAGTTTCGTGTGTAGCACACACTCCAGCATGGACTTCATTTAAGGCTTTGGTTACCTCATTGCCTATGCGGGTCTAGCTTTTGAGTCTCAACTGGACCCAAAAACCACATGACTATATACAAAGCCCAAACAAAACTTTTTCCAAAGTAATTGTACTAAAAGTAGTTTCCTAAACAAATATCACATTAATTGGAGTTGAAGTCATGTTTCTCCAACCTTTGAAGAATAAATTTTCAATTATGTTTGTGCAGCATAAGAGTGCAATCATGTATAAAACTGTCTTCGTTTTAAATGCCGAACATTTGTATGGTGATTCTGTTACGAAGTTGTCTTATACTCTTATAGATTCATTTCATTCCATTATTGCTATCGTACAAGCATAAGTTGATAGGCTAGTACTCCCTACGTTTCAAATTATAAGTCATTCCAAAAAACTTGAAAAGTCAAAGCATCCCAAGTTTGACTAAAATTATAGAGAGAAATACAAAGATTTATGACATCAAATATGTATACTATGAAAATATAATTGATGAAGATCTAATGATACTTAGTTAGTATCATAAATGTTATTATCTTATTACATAAATTTTGTCAAACTTGAGATGCTTTGACTCACCAAGATTTTTGGAATGACTTATAATTTAGGACGGAGGGAGTACTATATATTATAATAACTGTGTTCTGTGGAAAACCCTTTTTGTGTGTTTGAAATAAACATGAGGGGCCATCCTATGGCCGAGCACCAACATAAGAGTTATGCAAAGGATGCAACCTCTGTGCAGTCCAAGTACACTCCGGTCATGCCTCCTTTGGTATGAAAGCAAGAATCAGAGCTCCTCTTGCGCCCTCCTCGACCATGAGATCTTCGGTGTGGAAGTTGATGTTTGTACTGACATAGCCGGGATGCACACAATTTACACATAGTGTTGGGTGCTTCTTTGCAATGATTCTCGAATAAGCATTGGCAAGAGCCTTGGACACTTTATATGCAGGGTACTCTCCATCAATCGGCCACCCATGGGGTTCTAGTTGGCCATTCTTGAAGTCCTTGAGGAACAATTCTGACGGTTCATCCAATTTTTGTTCTGATAGGTTATCAATGTTGTTGAGCTCCTTCTAAGTTCCTCACCCCTGAAAAACTGAACCCATGTAGAAGGATTGGTATTTTTTAAAAGCAGTGTGGTCTATCTATTATCGCAGTTCTAAAGACTTCGACTAATCAACTAAGGGGTGTTTGGTTATTTAGTCGCTACTAAAATTCATGTCACATCGAATATTTAGATACTAATAAAGAGCATTAAATATAGATTAATTACAAAATCAATTACATAGATGGAGGCTAATTTGCGAGATGATTTTTTAAGCCTAATTAATCTATCATTAGCATATGTTTACGGTAGCACCACGTTGCCAAATCATAGACTAATTAGGCTTAAAAGATTCGTCTCGCAAATTAGTCGTAAATTATGTAATTAATCTATATTTAATACTCCGTGTATATATCTAAATATTCATGTGACAAGAATTTTATGACCACATGTAGAAACAAACAGGGCCTAATATCATTGCAGTTTTAAAGACTTTGGCTAGGCATGGATAAAAACCGGCACGGCTGCGCAGTTCAGACCCAAATCCTCAAACGTCGCACCACCAATGTCCTGCATCGCCTCCAATGCGCATCCGATAAATCTGATGATTCGGATCGCCTTCTTCTCCTCCGCATGCCCTCCACCACGTAGGATCTATCTGCAGAACACAAAGAGAGCTGCGACCGTTCCACTTGCAGCCGAACTCCTTGGCGACCATGATGCCATTTGGGAACCGAATCCATCCTCAGCTTGTACATCTTCTCGCCTTCCATGGGCAGTCATCATCTACCATCTCGTCGGTCTCTCTCACTTATGTGCGGGCCCCACTCGTCAGCCTCACGGCCTGCTGCTTCTTCCTCTCGCCTGGGGCTCACCGGCGGTCGGGAAGGAGAGGGTAAGGCCGCAGTGGAGCTCGCGCCCTGCGTGGCAGCGGCGGAGCCCGCCCATGCCCACGAGGCCGCGCGCCATCCAAGAGCGCCGCCCCTGCTCCCTTGGCTACCTTCACGAGCTTCTCCGTCGTCTTCACTCCTCCGCCGAGCGTGGAGCTGTAGAAGGCCAGGTACTGATGGTCTGGTTGCCACCGCGGCGATGCCTCGGGAGTGCTACAGCACGCGCAGTCGCCGCGCGGCGCGGAGCTCGCGCTCGCCCGTGCGTCGGTGGAGCTCGCGCTGGCCTGCGCGGCGGAGCAGAGCGCCCGCTCGCCCGCGTCCTTCGGCGTCCCCCACGCTCTCCCCGCACCCTCCAGCGTCCTCCGCGTCGCGCTCTCCCCGCATCCTCCGCGTGCCCGCTCGCTGCTGACGAGGACGAACGATGGGGAAAAGAAGGGCAAGAACGGACCGATGTGAACATAACTAGTAACGGGTGGGTAATTTTCGCGAAAAGTTGGAAGTGTGTCGATGTTGTGCATCACCTAGATGATTTTGCCCTTTGGATCTTCCATGAGTAAGAAAAGAAGGCTCGAGGAGAGATCCATACCATTCATTTTATATGAAGTTGGATTATTTGGTACACAAATTTAAGATGACTTAGATTAGGCGCGCTACCGTGAGGTGGTGAGAGGGTGGATTTAGTAAAAAATATATATATATATAGAGTAGGGTAGAGATCTACACAGTATCACATAATATTATACCTACTTGAGAGGAGGAACGAGTGGTGAGGACGGTTGACCGAACAGAATGCGCTGGACATGAAAATTAAAGCAATATGTATCTCTAAGATAAGACGTGTTCGTTTTGGGCCTATTTGGCGAAGATTGAAAAATACCGTTCTTTACAGCTCGTATAACATAACGCGAACATTTCAGTAAGATAATAAACCAGCCAGCCAGCAGGCAATAAGCCAGCCGAACAGCCCCTACAGCTCGTATTCCAGGATTACACGAACGAAGCTATTTCATTGCGGTCGAAGTAAGCGCTGGTGACGCCGCCCTGGTCGGCGAGAGCGACCGCGACGGAGACCCTGGCGCCTTCCGCGGCCGTCAGGTCACCGGTGTTGCAGTTCATCTCCGTCTCGACGTAGCCCGGGTGCACGCAGTTGACCCGCAGCGCGGGGTTCTCCCTGGTGAGGATCCTCGTGTAGGCGGAGACGAGCGCCTTGGACGCCTGGTACGCCGCGTACACCCGGTCGGTGGGCCACCCACGGAGCTCCAGCTTGCTGCTCTTGTAGTCGTCCAGGAACAGCGCCGACAGCTCGTCCAGCCGCTGCTTGGTCAGCGTGTCGATGCTGCTCAGCTCCTGCCGGAGCTCCGCGCCGCTGAAAAACTGCACCAGAGAGCAGGATATACATGAAGAACAGAAGAAGATTGCATTGGATGTTTTGTGATTTCCCATTTCCTCCCTTCAAACTGTGATGATCTGTTGTGTATGATCAGGGCACGCACCCTGAGTAGCCCAAAGGCTGAAGTGACGTTGACGATCCTTCCGTCAGAGGAGGATTGCACGAGCGGAAGGAGCGCTTCGGTGACGGTTTTGGTGCCGTGGTAGTTAATTTTGACGCATTCCTCTGCTTGCTCAGTGTTCTGCGTGGTCCGCTGCTTCAGCCATTCTGCAATCTCGTTCTGGTCCTTGCCTACCATCTGTCTCGATGCAGCCAGACGGACTAAGTGTCTAACACCAAATGTACTGATAGTAAGTAGTAACATGCTAGCCTAGCTCATCAGCTATACTCCGTATAAATATGCTAGCATTTTCCCCTCTCGGTATACGTACCATTTCTTTGATGGCTGCCTCGTCGCCAACCTCCATCGTCACTCCCATTATGCCTGCGTTGTTGACCTGCAGAGTATGAATCGGTTAGAGCATGCAACCAGTTTATGTACACCAAGACGACCGTCAGAAGTAGCAGGAAGCCAGGCAGGGAAAGTGGAAAGAGCCGTACCAACACATCGAGCTTGCCGAACTTGCTCCTGACGAAATCAGCCAAGCGAGCAGCGCTGGGGGCTCCGTGATGCCAGGGTTTTTTTATCGGCCGAAATCCATTGAAATCTCTGATAAGATATCGGCCAAATTTTTTAGATTTTTCCTTCTCCCACACATACGGCTCAGATTCAGCACTGCCACAATCCCGCACTTATAATGTTTTATTTTTGCTTTTATCTGTGAACAAGTGATGTTTAATAGCTTAGGAATAATTTCAAAGCATATTTTAGGAATTTTTTCAAAACAATTTAATTTTCTTTTAATTTGGTCCGATATATCCTGTTTATCCTATTTATCTTTGACCTCCGATAAATTTTTATTTTCAATAATGAAAACCTTAGTTGAGCAAGGGCAGGATGATGGCGGTGGAAGGGCGAGTGCTGTGAGATGGGATGAAAATTTTCAATTTTGTAAGTCTCCATCATCTCTCCGTGGGCCGCTTGAGTGGGCCTGGGCCAAATAGGTGAACGGAAACAGTTTCATGGGTCATGGCTAGCCTTTGGATTGAACTTGCGAGCATCTCCTTTGAAAAAAAAAAACTTAAGAGAATCTCCAATAGTTTCCTTAAGAAAGGTAGAGAATATATTTGATAATTTTATATCAAAATGCTGAATTATTTTCAACTCACCTCAATCAATTTTATACTTTATTTTTTCTTTTCTTGTACATTTGCATTGGAAACACTATCCTTTCTCCTTTTCTTCCACATGCCCTTCCACCTCTAGATCGGCCAATTGGATACGCGTGCTTATATTTCCACGAGATTAAATCAATTTTTCCATGTACGGAAAGATTGGAAATTGAGATAAGGAGTTGTTGCAGAGATATTTTTTCCAATCATCTCAATAAATCAAGATTATAAGTGAGTTTTGGAAACTCCTGGAGATACTCTAAATAATACTTTTAAAAAGAAAAGGATTGTTTTAATTTATCCATATCACATCTATAACAACAACAATCATAATAATAACAATAACAATAACAATAATAACAATAATAATACATCCCTTTAAAAAATTAAAATACAATATTATGTATATACACCTAACATTAAAGAGCATAAATTCTCTCCATTTTTTCATTTGTCTCCCTTTAACAACTTGTGTGGACAATAGAACAAAAGTCGGATAAGTGTAAGATGAGCTCGCTCCACAAAAACGACCGGATGTGCTCGTCCCAAGTGAACGGTGCTCACGCCGTCTTCCCAAATGAACAGTGCAAGCACGTGTCCAGGGGCAGCGGAGCCACAGCCAAGGTAGCGCGCAACCTAGGGCGAGTTGCGGAGGCAAGCGGTGGCGGCGGAGGCATACGACCTGAGGTGAGCGGAGCACTGCGACCGGGCTCAAGGCAGGCAAGGGTTAGCTGGGCGGAGGTGGGGATAGGCGGTGGTGATGCGAGCAGGGCCAATGGTGGTGACGCGGACATGACAGAGATAGGCGTAGACATGACTAGGACCAAGGGGAAGAAGCACATGTTTGTATGACAGGTGGGCGCATAGTTAACGGGGTTAACTGCTCTGCTATTTTATCCATCTCATCCCTACAACAATCCAATACAGAATAGAACCGCTATATATCCTTTCAACCAAACACTAGAATGAAACTATCTCATCTCTAAAATGAAATCGTTCTATTCTACCTCACTCTCTAACCAAACGTATCCTTAAGGGCACCCGCATTGGCTGTCTTATAAAGCTAACTCTAAGTATTTGTTTTAGATTTTAATAGAAGAGAGAGAAAAGCTAGCTCTTGATTAAGAGTTAGGCTCATACACATATTCTAAGATCATGTGAGAGTGTCATGTGGGCCTAATCATACTATGAGTTATTGCTAAAAACTAGCACTATTGCACAGATTGACTTAGAGCTAGCAACTGACTTGTACCATTGCGGGTGTTCTAGGTACTGCACCAATCTTGGACAGTAGGAATCCTAAAGTACTGCACCAATCTTTGCATCCTTGCATTAATTTAAAGCAGTACGTAGTATGATTGTTTCATCCTTGCATTAATTTAAAGCAGCACGTTGTACGATTGTTTCAGACATGCTGATGCTATGTAACTTGCTTAAATAACGCACCCACCCTTGTGAGAATGGAGATGCAGAGAAAACTGATAGCCGAGAAAAAGCTACACAAAGACGACAGTCAGAACTCATAAGTCAAAATAGTCCTCCTAAATTCACATTTGCGCAGTTAGCAGACAGCAAAAACAGCAGCGAGTACAAGTATTTTCGTCCGAACAAAATAACACAAATCAGCTTTGAGACACGTGGTCTGTCCATAACATAACTATATTACCTTGATTGAAAGTTTAAACCACCGTACTCATATTCATATAAACTGTTCAGTAAATATGCGATTTAACAACCAGTGTAGTATCAGAAACTAGCTAGTTGGGCCTTGGCGTTGCCCATTCGACGTGCAAGATAAGGTTATCGTAACCGTACCCATTGAGCTTATTGATAGCCCTCTCGCCATCCTCCCTGTGAACAAAGTTAACGAAGGCAAACCCCCTGCTCTCTCCAGTCACCCTGTCTATTGCCACATAGACGCGGCTAAGCTGCCCAAACTGGCCGAACAGCTCTGCGAGGTCGGGGTCGCGGGCGTCCTCTGAGAGGTTGCTCACGCGGACCGAGTTCTCGTCGTTCCTGCGCCTCATCACATCCGCTCCACTTCTGTCGCCACCCAACCTCTTGAACACAGGAACATATGCTCCACTTCCACCCTTGCCAGCTGCGCCTCCAGAGCCGTCGGCACTAGGAGGCCTGTCGGCGGGGCTTTCGCCCTGCTGTGGAGCAAGATCCTTGTAGGGGCACTTTGAGGTCCAGTGGTCACCCTTCTTCCCGCAGGTTCTGCAAACCATGAGAAGGCCTCCCCCTGGTTTATCGTTTCTCTTGGCCAGTGAATCAGCGGAACTAGATGGCCCTGCTCCGTCGGCGTTGTTCCCTGCAACCAACCAAACGAGCAGTTGGCAGTTAGCAAATGAGAGAACAGTGGTACGGGGATAATACCGATGCTAAAGCAAAACATAAAATTTTTTGAGAAAATTCAGAACCAATCACACTGTATATACAAAATGAAAAGGGATATGCACTGTCAGCTATTTTACGAAGATTCATGTTACCGCTATCGTAGAATTTAGCGGTGGCTGATGTCCACTACTGAACACATCCTTTGTCGGGTATTAACAAAAGGTAAATCGCTTGGCACCACTAGTTAATCATCCCCACATTTTGTGAGTAGTCAACTTTCCTGCCTGTCTTAGCATTCTAGCTACTAAGTGACTTCTAAAATTGCACTTCTCAAGCATGCAATTCACTCTTCTTATATTAATATATACCGACAATGTTCATTGTCTTTCAAAAAGAAATCCAAAGTAACTAGGTCCTAATGAAAAAAAACAGCCATATTTTTGTTTTGAATGTGTGTTCGTATATACGTACTAACAGCAACGAGACCAGACCATTTACATGATTTGGGTGCTCGCC